GAGCGACGGAAAGGACTCTCGGAATCAGCCTGCAGAGGAGACGGTTTGAAGAGCAAATGGGCTGGGCAGCGCAAAGGTAGGGGAAGAAGAGAGAGGTGGTGAGTGGCGGACACGGACTGGCAGACGGACGGCGAGATGGAGCGAGATGTGGACGGGCGGACGGGCGGACAGACCGACGGACAGGGAGGTGGCGAGGGGCTGGTCCATGGGAGGGGAGGGGGTGGCGCGGGGGCGGGGCGGGGCGGGGCACGGGGTGCGGGGGTTCCAGCGGGGCGGATCAATACGCTGGAGGGGTGGGGGCAGAAGCGTGGGCGGCGGGGCGGGGGCGGCGGCGGGTGCCTTGCACGACCTGCCTGCAGCCGCCTGCAGCCTGCACGCCAAGTCGCGCCGCCGCCCCCCGCGCCGCCCCCGCGCCGCCCCCGCGCCGCCCCCGCCCGGTGTCCGGTGGCGCCTGCACGGCGACGTTTCAATTACCCGGCCGAGTGCGAGTACCTCGGAGTACCTGCCACCCCACCGGAAGGCGACTGCACGGCATGGGCGTTTGCCGATGATTGGAGGTGCATTCGGTGTGCGGGGACGCTGATGCGGCGCGGGGCGTGGTTCGAGGAGGAGGGGGGGGGGGCGACCCGCGCGCCGCCAGGCCGCCAGCGTCCCTGACCTGGACCACGGTATCACGGGGCAGGCCGGCGAGTGGCGGCGGCGTCTGGCTAGCCGAGGACGAGTTCCGAGTATTGCGCAAGTCGTACGAACTTGCCTGTAAAAAGAGGGGGCGGGGCCGCGGCGGGGCTGTGGGGCGGCTGGTCTCTGCCCCACTCTCTGACTGGCCCGCTGACTCAGGCGGCGGTGAGTCAACCGCTGGGCACAGCGAACCCATCTCTCTCGCACTCGTGGGGCGACCCGCAGGGGCGAGAGAGACAGAGCAATCAGACTACGGGCGAGGGAAGTTCGGGCCGCCCCAGCCGCCCCCTTTACAACGGGCCCCACACTAAACTGCCCCAAGGCCTTTCCGTCCGCCTCCTCTTGGCGACAGCGTGTCCCCGGGCAGGCCATGCGAATGGAGCTTCTAGCTGTCGCGTCAAAAACGGGCCGGGTGTTGCTTCGTTAGCACACACCCCGTGCAGCGCGCCGACCCGACCCGACCCGAGGCAGACGTTTAGTAATCTCTTCCGGCGCGCAGCAGCAGCCTCGGAAACTGTCCGATAGTCGGCGAAACGCGGCCGTTCGTTACCCCGTGACCCGGCCGGCCCCCCGCGGTCCCTCGCGATATGCAAATCGCGAGCCTACCTCCTCGACGGCGTCCTCGGCGGCGTCCTCGGCGGCGTCCTCGGCGGCCGCCACTGGAGTCGGGCTCTTTATGGCGGCAGATACCGATCCATCGGCCGGCAGTGTACTGGCACTGCGGCGGCGGTCTTGGTGATGCGTGGCGCGCTACCACGCCAGGGCGGGGCCGCGGCGTGGTGACGTCACGTCGTGGTGCTGCCGCTGCTTTAAATGTCCGCCCGCATGGCCGCCGTGGTGCACCTGTTGGCTGCAACGAGCCGCGCTGCAGTCGCGGCCCCGCCCCGCCCCGCCGCGGGCCGTCGACGCCGGCCTCGGCCTGACACGTCTCGATGCGGGATGAGTCTTATGAACGGGGAAGCCCCAAGCCCCCCAGGCCCCCAGGGCCTGATCCGCGCGTGTGTCTAAAGGGATTTTACGGGGCCCGACGGCCCGGCCGACTGGCCGAAATGACAAGTCGATCCATTACGGCACCCTCTTCAGCTAGAAGCACCCCCTGGGGCGCCACCAGCCGCGCCCCGCCGCCGTCGCGCGCCCCGCCACCCCACCCCACCGGCGGCCCAAACCGCACGCAATGGTAGTCCGTCCTCGGCGGGGAGGGGCGGTAGTCGGAGAGGGAGCAATGCAAGCCGTATACAAAACAAGCTGACTCTCACGCGCACACAGCGCGCGCGGGCTGCGCGGGCTGGGCAGAGCGCCGTGCCGGGTGGGCAACCGGAACGCAGCGCTGCGTTGCGGCACGGCGGCCCGCCAGGCGTTTGCAGTGGGGTGGTTTTTGTGTGTGAGTGTGTGTGTGTGTGTGTGGCGTCTCCCTGGTAGTAAATGGTGTGACGTCACTCTGGGCCGCCCTTCTCCAGGGGCATGCCGTGCGGCGGCGCCTGGACGGTCTATTCCTAGTCCCTGTGTTGTGTTTGTGTGTGTGTGTGCGAGGGGCGTCGCAGCACGTTGATAAGGTTGGGCTTGGTTAGGGCAAGTACAGTACCGCTGCCGCGACTTTGGTTTGAAGTCGCTCTCGCTCGAGTCGTTTCGCCCTGCTCTGCGTTTGGCGGGGCGTGGCCGAGGACGCGCGGTGTTGACTCAAGCGGCTTTTGGTGGCGCGTGGGCCGAGGCGGCCGAGGGCCGAAGCTACCCCACGCCGGAGGCATGTCGTCGGATTGGCGTCCGGGCGTCCGCCTGGGCGGCCCCGTCCGCGAATGCCGCTGTGTGTGTGTGTTTGTCTGTGTGTGGCATTTATTTATTGGGGTGGGGGCGGGCCGGGCCTTCCTCATGGAAGAGAAATGAAACGTACGCGGTGGCCTTGCCTGGCCCTGCCTCCAGTGCCTTGGATGCCTCTGCTACGTTATTCCGATAGAGCGACACGTAGGCCCTTGAGTCACCTTGTGTCCCCTCTGCGAGTGGGGAAGGGCGGCGGGTGGACTTCCCTGTGTGGAGGCATGGAAGTGCCCCTCTATATTACACGGCGGCACAACCCCTCCCCCTTCCCTTCCGTCGCACACCGTCACCGTACCGACCGACCCCTCCAGCAATGCCAAAGTTACCCGCGGCTCGAAGCACCCCGAGCTGACTTCATGGCTGCATGATTTTCCTATCCGGAAGGTCCCGCCCAGTGGCCATAGCACCTCCGGAAACTCGGAGCTCGGTTCGGGAGGCAAGGCCGCCGTGCACGCCGCCGTCGTCGCGTTGCCCGTCGGACTGACACCGTCTGACACCCAGTCTGACACCCAGTCTGACAGCGCGGCGTGTCGGCGCCTGACGGCGGGCCGACGGCGGGCTGGGGGATGAACGAGGACGACCTTGGCGGCCTTGACCTTGACTTTGCGCCCTTTGCTGCCGGGACCGGGTTGGCGGCGGTTGGCGGTGCCCTCGGCGCCCACCTGCTGCTCTACGGTGTACTGACATTGTTCATTTCAACCCCAAAAGTCAGAGTCCAATTTCCTCCCCCTCCCCCCGTTTTTGCACAGAGCCATTGCATGCAAAGTCGATGCAAAACGCCCCGCCCCGCCCCGGCCGCCGCAGGCCTTGTCGTGTCCGCCAGCGACGCGATGCTCGTTTTGTTGTTGAACTTTAACCTCTCCCTTTCGGCGCCCCCCGCCCCCCGCGTCTCCCCTCCCATCAATTTTCCACGACTTTTCCCCTCATGATGCTTTTCAGCCCCCTCCCCCGCTCCCACGCGTCCCTCTGCTGACTCCATTTATACTTCTTTTCATCGCGGTCTCGCTCGTTGTATTTTGTCGTTATTTTTCCTCGGTGATCTTTCCTCCTCCCCCCCCCGTTTTTTTATCCCCGTGACGGCTTTCTCTCTCTTTCTCTCTCTCTCGTGTTGTTTCTTTTCGGTCTTTAGAGTGTGACTTTGCCACCCCCGGCCCCCCACGCCACGCCCCGTTGACGTCTGCGGGTTGTCCAGGCCTTTCGGGTCGCCCCCCCCCTCCCCCCCAACCCGTACTTCTATATCGAGTCTGAAGCCGGCACTGCCGGGTACCGACCCACTGATTCCGAGAGTCGTCGCTTGTCTCTCTCGCACCTATTAGCGACGCCCCACGAGTGCGAGAGAGACAGAGCGACGCAGTGTGCAGGCCGGGCGGCAGGCAGGCACGTGGCCCTCGCCCTTGTTGCAGTGGGGTTGCGGTCCGCCGGCCCGCCTGCTGCAGGTTGCCTGCTCTCTGAGCCGCCCGTCGATGGGTCAGTCGGCTGCCCTAGGCTGCCCCAGGCTGCCCCGGAGGCTGACCCCGACGACTCAGTGGCGAGCGGGGCGCGCTGGGCTATTTATAAACGCGGGTGCATGACCCCTGATGCGTTTTGACGATATTGTGCGCCGACCCGAGCGGACTGCCGGCCGGCCCCGGGGCGGGCCCAGGCCGCGGGAAGAGGGCCCTGAATGCAAGTCGCGCAGTCCGCTCCCGGGGCGGGGGCGGGAAGGGAGGGGGGGAGCAAACGGCGGCGCTATTCGCTTTCTTATCGGCGCTGGGTTGTTGCTGATAAGCGGCCGCCGGGACGGCAATTTGAGTGCCTTGGCGCCAGCGGGCCGAGTCGCTCTGTCTCTCTCGCGCACGTGAGGCGTTCCACCCGTGCGCGAGTGAGACAGAGCGCCGTTCGGAAGGGGCTTACAGCGCCAGAGCCAGACCTAGCCAACCGCGGGGCGCGGGGCGCGGGGCGCGGTGTGTGTAGGGTTGCCTACTCGGCCGCTGGGCAACCTCGTGGCCGCGCTGGGTTGCCACCCGCCACCCCCAGCGGGATCGAGTCAATGATTTATCGCGAAGGCAATGAGCCGCTCGTCCATCCCGTCAGTACTACTGCGCGTACTACTGTCCGCACTGGCCGTCGTTCTGCCCGGCGTTCTGCCCGTCGCGGCGACACGGGGCTGCGCGTCGGCTGCGTGGTGCGGTGCACTGTACTCTGCCCGAATGGAATGCGGGGCCGTGCTTCTGCTTCGCTTGACTCGCGTCGTAACAATCCGCGGCCCGAAATTCGTGCCGACGCTACCCCGCACGCCGGGGACGGGGCGACGGGGCGGGGTAGCGACGGGGTCATTGCTTTTTCTGCTGATGGGGCACATTGCCCCCGTTTCGCCCGCGCTCCTAAAATAAAATGAGCACGTGTGGTGGTTTTTTTTTCGTCTGGTGATTTGATCCACTTCCATCGACCGGGGTGATGAGACCCCACACTATCTCCCGTTTCCCTCTGTCAGCCGAGCTGCTCCCTGAACACGCTCTCTGTCTCTGCAGGTGGAGCAGCGCGATGTGCCCGGCATCGACTGCGCCTACCTGGCCATGGACACCGAGGAGGGCGTCGAGGTCGTCTGGAACGAGGTGCAATTCTCGGAGCGGAAGAACTTCAAGGCGCAGGAGGAGAAAATTCAGCAGGTGTTTGAGAACCTGACGCAGCTAGAGCACCCCAACATAGTCAAGTTCCATCGCTACTGGACGGACACGCACAACGACAAGCCAAGAGTAAGTTGGACGCCACTGTGCGCTTATTAACGTCAATCGCCTTTTCTGTTCGAATATTGAGAGCAATTTTTAATTGTTTGCTCAGGTCATCTTCATCACCGAGTACATGTCATCAGGGTCCCTAAAGCAGTTCCTAAAACGCACCAAACGAAATGTCAAGAAGTTACCACTGCAGGCCTGGAAGAGGTGGTGCACACAGATCCTCTCAGCGTTGAGGTAAAAAAGTTCATCACATTGTCCAACCCTAGTTGTTTTGTTTGTATTCATAGATCCTAAGCCTAGATTCAAATCTCTTGGAAGTGTGTCCTCAGATCTAATTCCCATCTTGAAGGCTAAAAAAAATTATTGTAAGTTGGAAGCAGAAAGTCTCCCCTTTAACATTGGACCTGAAAAGCAAACTCATTTTAATTTTCATCAGCTATCAATCAAATAAAGGCTTTCTTCAGACTACTTCCACAAACCTTGTGGTATTGTTTTTGATTGTCACTATGTGAAAGCTCGTAAGGTACTTCTACAGTAATGCCCACCATATCAAGTTTGCTCTTCCTGTTTTGAAGTCCTATTCGTTGCATTTTTTTTAATCGGACAAAGGAAAACATAGCACACTTAAGGAAAATGCTTTTCATTAGATATTTTTCCCTGAACTATGGCTTTAAGTAAAGATGTGCAGACTGAACTTTGGTGCTTTATACATTGTATTATTCACCAGGAATTTTTTCTGGGGTCAACTGGCAAGCTTATTCCATTAAAATAGAGTGTTTTGTGTATATATAGAAAAGCGAACCATGCTCTAGCTTTGCTCATTTTCCCTGAACTTAGTCTGTACTCTGTTCTATCCACCTAAATTACAACTTTTATAAAAATTTAAAGTGCTTTTAATCTGTTTGAAAATGTGACCTCTTCTATCTGATAGTTTGAGGCATTCAATTAATTTAATGGTTGTTCAAACTTTTCTTTGCTTAAAAATGATGTCTTACTTCTCTCCTCAGTGAGTTTCAACCAATGTATATTGCCTTTCTTTGTTTGCAATATCCATAAATTTTATTTATTGGGTCACACTTCCACCACTTTTAACCTTGATTAGTTTTGCTGTTGTTCTTTCATTTTTCTCTCTGGGAAAGAATTTCCAACAATCCTTTCAAATTTTCAATTGAAGACACTATGTCCTGACATAATTTTTCTTGTCTAATTATCATGATTCAATTTTCAGCATGTGAGGATCAATCCAACATTTCAACTTTACAAGTTTCTGTTTGCCATTTTTTGTTGCTTTCATTTATTTAGTTTGATAACTCTCCCGACGGAAGAGATGTTTGGGGTAGGAGCAGCATGCAATTTTGTGAAACTTTCACCGATGTTGGTCTTCCTAGCGTCTCTTTTGGGCCTCACTGCTGTTTCAACTTCATCTAAATTTATGAATGTATAAAATAATTCTAATTTTCACATGACAGTTGCTGTTATGATGCCAGTAGCAACCTTCACTGTTTGCCTTGTTTTAAATGATTTTCAGCCCTGATGAGCTATCAGTGTGTGTCCTGTTGAACCAATTACATTGCATCCTGCTCTTTTTGAGCTGTAGTCGCAGGCTCGTGCAGGCTACTGGGACTACCATCACTCACCCTGAGTTATGAACAAAGTTGATTACTTAATTATTTTCTGGATGAAATTGCTGTTGAATCCAATTTAGCACATCCAGTAAAGCTGACAATTCATTAGCAATATATGCTGTGAAGGTTCATGACATGGTGGTTGGTGGTGGGCCCAGACGGGTGTGGCTTACGTGTCGGAACACGTAGAAAATGGCGCACCATTTTGTTAGCCACATGTGGCATGCTGTGGCATGCTATGCCAACCGAGTTGATGGGGTCAATCCTGATGTTTCTTCTTTTCAGTTACTTGCATTCCTGTTCTCCACCTATCATCCATGGGAATCTCACCTGTGATACCATATTTATTCAGCACAACGGCCTTGTCAAAATAGGATCAGGTAAAGTTCAAGACAAACACAAAAGAAAAGGGAAGAAGGTACCCTTTCTTTTTTACTACGTATTTTTTTAGCTTTTAAGGACAGGTAATTCTTGTTTTTTAGTTGTAAGGCTTGACGAGAGACAATGCTTGTTTGCCAAAGCTCACTCATGTCTCAGACAGTCAGCTGGCTGGAGTCATTCCCAACGCAAACGCACAAACACATCGGCCGATCGCGGACCGAACCGTTCCGTCGCCGTGTGTTAGGAGCCACCGGGGAACCAGATTTCGCGCAAACGCCCTGCCGTCGGACCGGGGCGTCGTTGATGCATTGACGCGACCGGGGTGCTTGTGCGTGGGGATACCTGGCAGCGCTTTAGAGAGCGCCAGTGGCACTGTCGAGGCATGAAGAGCGCTGCCACGTCCAGCACTAACATTGTTGTCTGTCTGTTTTCCCCCCACAGTGGCACCTGATGCCATCCATCACCATGTCAAAACATGCAGGGATAACATGAAGAACATGCATTTCATTGCGCCCGAGTATGGAGGTGAGTAGGAATTAGAATTTCTTTTTCTTAATTAGAGTATTTGGTTGATTTTCAGCAAATGACCGTTTTGTTCTTTTTTTGTTGCAGCATCTGTCACTCCGGCTATCGATGTGTATTCATTTGGAATGTGTGCACTTGAGATGGCTGCACTGGAAATCCAGGGCAATGGTGATTCAGGGACCTTAGTAACGGATGAGCATATCCACAGAACTATTGAGAGTCTTGATGATGGGCAGCAAAAGGATTTTATATTTAAGTGCCTTCATCGAGACCCCTCAAAACGGCCTAGTGCGAGGGAACTCCTGTTTCATCCTCTACTTTTTGAAGTCCATTCCTTGAAATTACTAGCAGCACATGCTCTTGTGAATAGTGCAGGTAAAAACTAAAACATAGATAGTTCAGTTGGAGATTTTGTACTTTGACCAAATCAAAAAGTGTCAGTTCTAATCTCCCTGTTTAAATCTGATTTTAGCAAATATTTCGGACACAATATCAGATGAAGTAGTCCAGCGGCTATATGGGCCTGATGTTGTTGTTGCCGAAATAATGCATACTGACCGACCTGGTGTTCAAATACGCATGGGTGATGTGCAGGTTACAGAAAAGCTAGAAAAGTTTGTTGAAGATGTGAAGTAAGTATTATAAAAATTTATCAACTGCTCTTCGTCATTGCCTTCTAAAGATTAAATTGGTCTAAAATTCGTCTTTTTCCAGGTATGGTATCTACCCCTTAACTGCCTTCAAAGCAAGGCAACCTCCTCCTCCTAGACCTAGAGCAGTATCGCCAGAAGTTACAGAATCTGTCAAATCAGTTACTCCTGAACCTCTAGATATTGAAGCTAGAAGAGTGGTAAACATGATGTGCAATGTGAAACCAAAAGATGAAAGCTGTGACCTGCTTGTATGTGATTTTTGTTTTGAATTTTCTCAGAATACCCTGGTTTGTTTTATTATCTAACTGTGCATTGATACCAATATTTGTTCCTTGCTTTTAGATGACTATCCTTTTAAGAATGGATGACAAGATGAATAGGCAGCTGACATGTCTTGTATCAGAAATTGATACTTCGCTCCTGCTGGCTCAGGAGCTGGTCCATTTTGGCTTCATTAATGAGGTGAGTTTCAGTAGAAATCAGCTGTTAGTAGAGTCACTCTTTTGATATTCTAAATAATTATAACAAATAATTTTCCCTTTGGCAGGCGGACAAGGAGAAGATTGCATCATTGATAGAGGAAACTCTCATCAGCTGTTTCAATCAACAGATGCCAATGAGGCAGCAGCTACAGCAGCAGCTACAACAGCAGTCAACAGTTTTAATAGGACCTGCCCCTACGGGCAGTCTTACAAACCATGTTTCTATTCATACTGGAAGTTAGTAACGGCTGACTCGCCGGCGAGCTCAAGCCAATGTCGCCGCCGGCGGCGAACATGTATCTTCTTGTTTTTATCTCACTTTACGAACATTTAATTGTAATCTGTGAAAGTGAATTCATCCCTTGTCGAGGCTTGCGGATGTACTGGGGTGTTTTGCTTGCAGTGATGTTATTTATTCAAAAATGATGTTTCTCTCCCAGTAGTAGCTATATAAGATATTACATTCTTTCTATAGTATTGATTTTTGTTTTGTATTCAGTCAGTTCTATTTTCTGTTGGCATTTGTAAGTAGCTGTTTGTTATTTGATGTGATTTATAGCGAACCTAAGTATTCTGTGTTCACTGGCTTCAGTCATGTCTGATGCCTACCCTCTGTTGTATCAATTTCTGCTTTGCAAGACACCCTACTTTTAACGACTCAGCACACTTGTGAGAAACCATCACTATAGTAGGAGCAGGACATAAACTCCTGAGATGTTCAAGTCAAAAGTCATATTTTTTTACACATTCGTCTGATAATTTTATCATTTCTAATGTTTCATTGCAAAGAAATTTTTGTATGCAACCTCTATCTGTATACACACACTGCTGCAAGTGAGTATGAGTACTTTCCAAGAACTGAAATCTCCAATTAGGCACTCTTTGGTGGTGACTTGTCCTTGTAGATTTCTAAATTTTTGCTTCACTGTAAAATTAATGTAATGACAGGATCTATTTCCTTTTTGTGGTTTTCTCAACTTAAGTTTAAACAAAAGTTTTGAGGCCTTTTTATTTTATTTTTTATTTGAAGGGTCAAGCTCACTTGCAGCATTTTTAGGTCCCTTATCACACGCCTACCTCAGTCAGGTTTAACTCACAGGTGATTAAAAACTTCCAGTGTTCAGCCTTATTTATCTGATCATCTTCATTTCAGGGACTACCTGTGTTGGCATTTGAACTTGTCATATTTTTATATGAATATGAACTATCATTTGCTTTTCCAGTTGGTTGGATGAAGCATTTTAACAAAAGATGAATTGTATTATTGTATTCTTGCTTAAAAGCTTTTGATAAGTTACCAAATATCTGTTTGAAAATATAGTATTGCGTTAGTCAGCATATTAAAAGACAAACTGTGTCATTGTTTCCCAGGACCATATTGACATTTAGAATTGTGTCTGAAATGCTGTGGATTTTTATCACCTTAAGAAGTTGCATTTTGAATATTTAAGTTTGAAATTCAATTAAGTTATATTATGCTGCTGTGAAAGTTGAGCTGTGCGTCATCTTCTCTCACTCTCCCTTAACTCCTTTGTCCTGTGATAAATAATAGATTAATTACTCGGATTCCACTAGAGCCTTGGAGATAAGTCTGAAATAGTGATTTTGGGATGTGAGTCGATGAGAGATTGTAAGGTGCCTGGCTATGGGGGCTGCCTCTGTGATGAACCTCAGCTCTTTTCTGTGCGAGGCGAGGTATATAATTATTGTCTTATGTATTTGCATTCTTGTCAATGTTATTGTCATGTACATTGTACTGCTCTGTCAAATTAGTTTCCAACATGAAATTATTATTTTATTAAATGTATGCTAATGATGCCTTAATTAGTAGCCAAGCTATGTAAGGCATCTGATAATGTACAGTGTGTTCCAATATTGGTGGCAACAGCCCCTATAGAGGCACTGATATATCTTGACAGGCAAGTCATCAGTAATCTTAATTCCGACTGAGAATTTTAAGTCTTTTTTTTTTCTGTTTTGTTTTTGTTTATATTTTGAAATACTCAAGAAAACTCAAGGGCCTTGATGGTATTCTATATCTTGAGTTGCTAGTTATGATGAGACTGACTTTGGTTGCATGGCTTGTTATGGGTTTGTATGACCAGTGTGTCACACATGTCATGGACCCACTCTATGTATGCCCAAGTATAGGTGTATCTGTTTGTAAGCGTGAGCGTGTGTATGTGTGTGAGTGTATTTGTGGATATGTGCTGTATATGTGGACATTCGTGCTCTTCAAGTCAATTGACCATGTTCACACACTTCTTGGTTATATCCAACAGAACTCATCAGGAGTTCTGTAAGTTGCGCTTAGAAATTTGTTAAAACCTTGTTTAATTGGTTGAACAGTAATGTTTCATGGCTCATGGTCATATACTAAGTTCTATACTAAATGCAGTTCATTTATGGGTGTATTCTTTTGTGTAGTTGTTCATGTAGTCTCACTTAAATGGCTTAGTTCTGTTGGATTCTACCCAATGTTTGTGTAATTTGACTAAATTTTACCTGAGTGAACTTGACTTGAAATGAGCAGAGTTGGTCACACTATTGCTTGGTGGCGAAATCTATATATTTACTTTGTGTGTAAGATAGATTTTTTTAAAATGGCGAATCAATTTACAAAAAGAATAGTTTTGTTCTTCCCTAGTCTAAATGCCAGAGCCACAAGTCTCTAAGCAGACTTATAACAATGAGCTTGTGATTCTTACTGGCTACACCTTGCTGAAGCATATTTGTTGCTGATGTCCTTCTGAAAATTCAAAGAATAACACAAATGCTGATGTGGTCAACAGTGCTTCAGCTGTTTCTTATCCTCTGCCTCCTTTTTTTAAATTATTATTGAAAATTCTTTTAACCTTCTGAACCACAGTTAAGCTTCTTTCATCTAATGTATTGAAGAAAATAAGTGCATCTTGAGCCCAAAGTGATAAGCATTTTTCTAAGGTTATTTTATAATTTCATTTTGACTGGATCAAATTAGTCATAAAATCATATGTCTATTTTATTTAAGTAAGAGTTCCATAATATCTCAGACTTGGAACATTTGAAGAAGACAAATTCAGTCTGCTGGTAATTTCACTAAAAAAAATTATTTTGTCTATGAGCTGCGCAAGTCAAGTGTTTATGTACAGCTATTGATTGTGATTGTCAATTTTAATATGTGGAAATTCAAAGAGATTCTGAATTAATCTTAACACTTGTTGCATTGGATGTGAAAAGTATTTTTGGTGTTTTGCACTGTGTTTGCATACCTTTCCTCGTGGATCCAACTCACGTGAACAGTTTTAGGAGTGACTATTAAGCCTCCTTCAAATCAGACAGAAAAAAATGTGTTCCCAGTTTCTTCTAAATTTTGTCACGGAAATAAAGCATTTGATTTTAGACTGCTCAAAATAGAAATGTACAAATGGTTGTTTTTCTTTCTTTTGTGAATCCAGCTGTCGAATTTTATTAAAATGAAATAGTATCTTCAATGTGTGATTTTTTTAATGTGATTTCCCCTGCCCTTTTACCCCCCACCCGCTCAACACTACTGGCCCGAGCCCGAAGTAGTGAGTCAGATACAGTATCCAGGCTCTCTAGGCTTAAGCTAAGACTTCTAAGATTTGATGTAATTCATTAGGTTGTTCGCTTAGCTTCTGTTTCTTTCAAATCATGAAAGACATGTCGATACGGTTTCAATGAAATCATTGGAGGTAACTGCCCGAGAACTCATTTTTCATTTTCAAATCGGCCCAGGGATGCCGCCAAACTTGAGAGTTGTGGAATACGGCTATTACCAACATACTAAATGCAACCTTTTTAAAAAGAAGTCTAAAGATTTGCGAATCCGTGAGCAACAATAGCAAATGCTCATCAAAAGCGTATTCCTTACGTTTACGGTTTGGATATCAAAGGTATTTGGATGAGTATACCGAATCAAGTGGCTGGTCCCTGTCTTCAACAGTTGACCAAACTGTAAGGTAGCGACTGTCGCGCCCTCTGTGAGCGGCCATGCTCGTCACAGCAAGGCATGTCCATTGGCCAGTCGTCAGCCAATAGGGCCTCGCTTAGCCATTCGTGCCTGAGCTTCCACGGTCCGTTCATCTGTCTGTCCTGTGGGCTGACTGGTCTCCGTCAGCCATATTTCCATTTCTTCACCGGGCAGAGAGGTCATTATTCGATTTTGATTCCATGCTTTCTGTTAATTCATTGTTTGATGGTGAATTATGAATCCAGTCTATGCAGTGGCTGTTTTGATTATCCCAGAATGGCTCGTAACTTGCGAGAAATCACGCTGCATTATCCGTCTCTGTTGCAGGTTTGGTGGGGTGAACTGCCCACCTTTGATTGACATCGTCCTTAAACTCAGGAGTCTTGCTGTACAATGTACGGCAACGGGTATCCGAATCAGACGATGTGAGTAGGACTTAATAAATGTCCGTTGGTGATCCCATTAGCCCTTTCCTTCTTTAAATTCATACACTCAAAAATCTGCCGCATCCGCCATCTTGTATGATTATTCTGCCTTTTATTGGGGTCTACGTGGCTTGCACGGTTTTCATTCATTTTTTGTAGTCTATTCGCTGTATCAGGATCCTCTAATCATATGGAGGCCTTCGCACATTTGTTTTGGTACACTCATTCGAAGCCAGCCTCGCTTGGCTGTCAGTTGGGGGAGTGGGGAAGTGGGCTTGACCCAGAGGGGGCATAGGAGAGAAAGTTGTCAAGAATTTTTGGTCAATGGCCGGCAAAAGTCAAATTTTGCCATCCAATAATTCTAACTTTCTGTTTGGCCTCTTGATATGTCATGTCAGCAGCAACGATTTTGACATGTCCCAATTAATTTCTTGCAACTTACTTATTCGACAATAGTTGACCTCTTATCATGCTCACTTATGGATTTCTCTTTTTTTAATAAATAGAATCTGCGCTTCCTACCAATATATAATGCTCCTGACACCTAATTTATTAACTTAAAGTTTGAATGGCATAGCTGGAATATGTATTCATCATGGCTCAGCTATTGTCCTACATCTTATCATAATCATTCATTTACTTTGATGTCTTTAGTGAAGCCGTATATGTTCTCATCACATCTTCCTTGAGCATGGTTTGGTTGACAGTCATTACCTGCTCATTGTTGTAGGCCTAGTATGCTCTCACCGCCCATTGTTGACATTAAGGTCAACCCTACTCTGTTGTGTCCAACAACCTTCAGTCATAGTGTAGCGAAATTGGTCAATTGTTGACATGAAGTGATTTTATAACCTTATGTTGACAAGGAGTACTCACTCTATTACTCGACATTTGGAATTTCCACTTCATTGTATAAGAAGTGACTAATAAAGGCTTTCTTTGTTGACTTTGCATAATGCATTTTTCATTTTTTTTGTGCCTCCTATTCAATCATCCTATGCACGCCATTTCTGTTTACTTCAGCCATATCTGATCTGTAATATACTGGGTTTGTCACTATTTGGAGTTGGTTGCACAATTGTTGATCTAATTTCACCTTGGTTTAACTTAATGTCCAATGTCAAGTGCTGTAGACACCGTTTCATATTGGTTGAACTTAAGGACTGCATGTGGTCACATTTTGTCACTTCATACCTTAGCTAATAGCAGCTCTTAAATTCATCACAGCTCAGGTGTTAAAGAATGCACCCTAATCAACTCAACAACTCTTCATTTGCTTCTTTAACTACTGTAGCCGAATTGGAGCTTTACTACCCTTCTTACATATCAATCAAACTTTAAAAGAAGGGTCTTTCTCTTGACCTTAATTTCTTGGAGTACACTCAAATCATTAGGAGTTCTGTGCTTTACAGAGCTCTCTTTGATGTGGGCATGACTTCATTGCCTGACAACAAGACTGCTCTCCACTAGAATATATATTTCATTGTCTGAAAGCAGCACTTGCCAGCTGGGTATACAATCTCCATGAACCTTCACTTTGTGATTTAAGATTAACAATGCTCCCATTTAAAGACCAGACTGGGTCATTCTTCTTGGGTTCGACTTCCAATAATTGGTCATCCATCCTCCAAATTTGTTGGGGTAGTAGTCAGAGTCAGAAGTGGTGGTTAAATAGTGATATAAGATTGAGCGTTTCCTATGCGCTTTGCAGGTACCCAGGTGGGAGACAAGGACGGGACAGACCAAACTTTGACTCTTTTCCGGGGCAAGGGCCACAAAATTGGTATCCAAGGGGCCCTATGAGTAAAAATGTTATGCAAGGGAAAGGTTCAATGGGCCCAGGGCTGATAAGCAACAATGCTCCAGAGCACTGTGACACAGGCAGCCATATGCTACAAACTTTTAACATGAATGGATCCCATAATACCATGAGGGCTGGGCAGCCACCCCGGTAAGAAAGAATGCCTGATTTCTCTCATTGACCTAACATTGTTTTTCATTGAACAGACTCTTGCTAGGCTGAGAATTATTATGATTGTTGTTTGCTGTTGAGGCATTTCTTCTCCCTGGCATCTGTCTGTTCTTAGATTTTTGTGTCAATATTTATATATTTAATATCTTCATTATATTTTCTGGGAGTAGTGAGTGGTACTATAATTACCTTGCCTTCATGCTTTCTTTTGCTTTGTCTCTTTTTTGCTGTATCTTTACACTATAAAGTAACAGCACATTGTTAAACTCTTTTTGCTAAAAAAAAAAAAAGAAAAAAAAAGTATTTAAAACATGTGTTGAGGTACTAACTTTATTTAACCTTCTCTCTCTTAGGTTTCCCAGAGGGGATCAACAATTCAAAAGCCGCTTCTGGGCCAACTCAAATCAGCAGAACAATGGCATGAAGCAGGATCAGACTATGAAGAACAACCTTAAAAACAAACAACCTGGGGAAAATTTGCGCAAGCCTCAGTGGGATCTCAATGTTCTCCAACAGTTCGCTAAGGACTTTTATGTTCCTCACTCTAATGTGGCTGGCAGGTTAGTTATTCATTGATTTGTTTTGTTGTGAATTCAAGAGATTTGCATGGTCTTTAATGTTACATTAAATGTATTATTGCTGTCTTGCAGGTCAGATGATGAAGTGAGAGTGTACCGTGAGAGCCGTGAAATAACAGTGAAGGGAAAAAATGTTCCCAATCCCAATCAGGCTTTTGAAGAAGGAAATTTCCCCGAGTTTGTCGTGCAGGAAATTCTCAAGCAGGGGTTCTCTGAACCTACACCCATCCAGGCTCAAGGATGGCCCATTGCATTGTCTGGCCGTGACATGGTTGGCATTGCTCAAACTGGATCTGGAAAGACTTTAGCTGTAAGTTTTACCAGCCTGTGTTTGTTTTGTTAGAAGTCCAAGCTGGTGGATGCAGTCTTCCTTACTTAACACAATTCCTTTTGTCCTCTTAGTACATGCTGCCAGCTGCTGTGCACATCAGCAACCAGCCTCAACTCTCCCGGGGAGATGGTCCCATTGCCCTGGTGCTTGCCCCAACCAGGGAGCTGGCGCAACAGATTCAAAGTGTTGCCCGTGACTTTGGCTCGTCATCACTAATCAGGAACACCTGTGTGTTTGGCGGTGCACCCAAAGGGCCTCAGGTATAAACAATGGAGTCCAGGATGACGCTTGTTATTTGCACATTCCAAAATGTTCACTAGTATATTTTTCCAGGCTCGTGATTTGGAACGAGGAGTTGAAATTGTAATTGCCACTCCTGGACGCCTGATTGACTTTTTGGAGAGAGGCACCACCAACCTAAGGAGGTGCACTTACCTTGTGTTGGATGAAGCCGATCGCATGCTTGATATGGGCTTTGAGCCGCAAATCCGCAAGATCATTGAGCAGATTAGGGTACGACATGTTAAAAATTTTCAATAGTTTATTTATTTACAGTAACTAGTTGAATTTTTAATATTTGTTGTTTATTTTTCTAGCCTGACAGACAAGTGCTCATGTGGTCAGCAACATGGCCTAAGGAAGTCCAGGCTTTGGCTGAAGATTTTCTTACTGATTACATTCAGATCAACATTGGATCTCTTGATCTAGCTGCCAACCACAACATTCGTCAGATTATTGAAGTCTGTCAGGAGCATGAGAAGGAAGAGAAGTTGTCAAAGCTCCTGAGAGAAATCAATGGCAAGGCTATTGTGTTTGTTGAAACGAAGAAGAAGGTGGATGATGTTACAAAACTGATCCAGAGAGAAGGGTTAGTACTTGATTGCTTTTGAGTCGGAATGTCTGTCCCCAGTTTAGCAGCAACACCTTAGGACCAATGTAACATTCTTTTATCACTAATCTGTAATCTTAGATCATGGGTTTTGTTAGATGAGTTGTCACTTTATGTGATGGAAGTTGTTTTTCTTCCAAAGTTGTGGTGTTAACAGTTTTTATTTTGTCCTTTCAAGTTGTTTTGCTGCTGCTGCTGCTAGTCTTTTAATGTAAGCCGTCATTAAGATTAATTTGTAGGTTTCGGTAGACAGATGGGAGGTAGTGCAGGGGGAAGACGTGCAATCCGATTGTGCCAAGAATCTGTGGTGTGCATGTGGGTTTGTAAGCAAGCTGGCATAAGTGGTAAAACCTTCGTTTTTTGTCAAATTTTTGGGAATTGGTTTTGAAAAGTGGTTATGCTTTTAATAATTTCTTCCTAGTTTCTCCTAATAATGAACTTTTTTTTTTTTTTGTCGGTTTGTTTAGCTGGCAAGCAATCAGTATTCATGGTGACAAATCTCAGCCGGAGCGTGACCATGTTCTTGCTGAGTTCCGCAGTGGCAAATCGAATATCTTGGTCGCAACAGATGTAGCTGCGCGAGGCTTGGGTATGTTGCACAGTTGATGCTTAACACTTCTCCCAAGTATTTTGATTTGTTTCTTAAATAAATCTTGCTTTTTAGATGTGGAAGATGTTAAATTTGTCATCAACTTCGACTACCCCAACACTGCTGAGGACTACATTCATCGCATTGGACGTACTGGTCGATGCCTGCAGAGTGGGACAGCGTATGCCTTTTTCACCCCTAACAACCAGCGCCAGGCTAAGGAATTGATCGGAGTGTTGCAAGAGGCCAATCAACCTGTCAACCCTGCTTTGGCTGAATTGGCTAATATGGCTCGCAGTCAATATGGAGGTAAGAGAAGTTCATCAAGTAGGCCTGTCTATTTAATTTAGCATTCCTCAATCATGAAAATATTATTTATTTAGGACGCAACCGTTGGAACAAGTACAGTACCAAGGACAATTCAAATGGTGACCGTAACCAAAATCGCCAAAATGGGCAGAATTGGCACAGCAACAACAATGATAACAGGGTGAATGGCATGGGAAATGGCATGGGCAACAACTCTCCTCGTTTCAGTGGGCCCAATGCTAACAACTACCGCAACCCAGGTGAAAACCGTGGAAACTACCAGAAGAGTGGATTCCAAAATGGGTAAGTTGCTTATATATTTCTGTACTCTCCCAATGCATTGGGGTTTCTGGTCTAATTCTGGGATTTTTATTATCATGCAGATACCAGAATGGCTATGGCCAGTCAAATGGCTACCATGGGCAGCAGAATGGCTATCATGGACAGCAGAATGGTTACCACAATCAGAACGGATTTGCCCAAAATGGATATGGAGGCCAGAATGGCTACCAGAACAACCGCGGATTTGGTAATCAAGGTGCTCGCAGCGGATTCCAGAACAACCGTTACAACAACCGATACAACAACAACTATGCCAACAGTCAAGGAGGCCACAATGGTCAAATGTTCAACATGCCGCCTCCATTCATGATGCAGCCAACAGCTGATGGTGGCGTGCAGAGCCTGATCAACAACAAGTTTTTCCAGACCAACAGGCCCCCACAGGCCAGCGGAGCCTGCGCATACCAAAGTATGTCTCCGAGTGCTTATGGAGGCTACCAGACCCCAGTGGCTTATTACGGCTACTCTCAGCCACAAGCTGTGCAGCAGTAGATGTATTTTCTCTCTGTAGCGAGCTAAATTGGCTCGATGTGTGGTTTGCTTTACTATTATTTTGCTCTATAACACTGCTAATCTAACTTAGAAAAATGATTTTTAACTATTTTTTTTCCTTGGTTGTTATGAGTATTCTAGTTTAGGATGACAATTCTTTTAATATCTACTCATTAAACTGATGTCTTCCCTCCATTCAAGTATTTGGACTGAGAAAGATTTGTTTATTCCATTGCCATTATTTTTGTGTTAGGGGTCAGTTAGATCAGCTGTCATAAATAGTAATCTAGTTACCTGAGAGCTGCATAAAGTTACCTGACCCGCTGGCCGGGCAGTGTGCCCTCCAGACGCAATGTGATTTGACATACTATCACCAAAGTTTTCTCATTATCATTTAAGCTGAGTACTCTGCCTCTGGTCTAAATTGATCTTTATTTCCTTATATATGTTTGTTTCATGGAGTCCTCTGACCAGTCAAATGGCACTCATTCTGTACAAGTGAATATATAGTATCGGTAATTGCTCATGAAGCAAAGGGGATAGTCAAGGATTAACTGTCCCTTCTGTCCTGTGATTTGTTTGTATATATTGTTGGCAAGATTTGATGAGCTCTCGGCAGTTGCTGATTAACTGTACGAAACTTACAGTCTCATGCTTTTGTCAGTCATTGTTTTTCTGAGATCTGGGGAAAGTATTCCCATGTAAAACGGAGCGTCATAGTATCTTCTCCATTGTTCAGATCTTGTTTCATATTCATCTTGCGTTTCAATTTATCCTGAGTTGAGACGCAGTTTTTCAATGTATATGTGCAGACAATTATTCAATGTATGTGCAGACTGTTCCTTCTTCAATTTTTTTTCTCTTTGTCTGTTTCCCTTTTACAAATTGATTTTAAGGGGGGTCTGGAAGTGAGTAGATTTTGAAAGAAAACTTAAATTCACTCTTATTATTAAATATTGGTGTGTGGGACAAGCACTATTTTTGTCATTTTGATCTTACAATTGTTGAACCAAACAAAAGCTATGTAAGACCACATTCCAGTTATTGTATATTTCCTTTTTGTCGACTAATTGTTATTGTAGTTTTCCATATTTCTGTATGCTGTTGAGATGCACGAAACATTCAGAAGGGGGGAGGGTTGGGAGGTACGACCACCTAGTTTTTATTTTGTGTCTGTGGACACTGCTAGTACTGGAAAGAAACTATTTTTTAATAAAAAAAAATTGTTCAATGTATTAAGAGGACCAGATGTGCATCTGGTTGATGAGAGTACATTGTTATTTATCTTTTTGTTGAGGGGGTAAATGAACATGACAACCGGTCTTTGACTGAATTGTATGTTCTTAGGGCCTCTGTTAGGCTTGAATTCTCTTATGTGAAGAAAATTGTGACTTTAGGTCTACAACTATTTATTTGCCCAAGGACTTCACACTGTTGGAGTCTATATATGTTGAAGTGTATGGCTTTTTTATTTGTTTTTTTTTCTTTATGAAAAGATATTTATAGATCTTGAAAGCGTTCCTTAACCCCCTAAATGATCTGTCCCCCTCAAGGGTCGTGTACATAGTTATGAATCAGAGTTCAATATTATGTGTAAATTATTGTGTACGTTTGAGTCATTCATTGATTCATTCTCAATTACACTTGTTCTGTGATATGTAAATCGTAGCAAATAATTTTAACTTAAGTTGCAAGTCCAAGAGAGAAAGGTCGGTTAGAACCATGCTATTGAGTATTTTGCTATAGGGAACACTGTTAATGGTCCTACTGTACTCTAAGTACTGATTGTGATATTTTCTTCAAAAGACTGATACCTGAAAGTGGTATGCTTTTATTAAGACTTCTGCTCTGTGGCAGGGGTTTATTTCCCAGCTTAAAATTGTCACGTGTGTTGGAGTTTGTGCAACTCTGGCATAAATGTTTTTTACAAACTTAGTTATATGAAAGTCAAAACCTTGTGAGTTGACTTAGTTTTATGGAGCTCACTCCAATTTTCTGTTATACAGATTGACACAAGGTAACTTAAAGCATTGGTAGTTGGCAGGAGGAGGGATGAGTGCTGGTTCTGGCCGTGAGGGGGTGCATCACCTCCGATGCCCTTCCACACTCCATCGCCTACCTTTCTCATTGGAAATGGCATGCCGTTTATCTGAGGGCAAATTCGTTTGGCAGTCCTTGTGATTGTCGAGTGTTGATATTTGCTCTGTATTACCTAATGCAGAAACTTGTTTTGTTCTTGTTCTTTTATTGAAAGAAAGGAAACATTGTTTTAGTCAGTTTCATTGCTACTAAATTAGCAGTTCAGTGATTTGTTAACTGCTTTTGTTTTTACCATGACATATTGCAGATATGAAAACATGTTTGATTGCGATACGAGCGACCCTTGACTCTGTGATGGACGCATCTTCCTAAGCTGAAGGAGCGGAACTCTTCTGTTCGTTTCCTCTGTGCATTTCTAGTATGTTATACAGTATTATGATAGTAAATGAATATCACCTGAATGTATGTTTTGAATACTATGGCAAATGAAAATATATTAAAATTAAATCATTTGCTGTGTGCGAGCTGTAAGATGGCTCACAGTTCATGATTTAAGAAAAAAAAGAAATAAAGAGTACATATATAATAAATTTCATCTTAGCCCAATCTTGTGTTCATTATTACCCTGTTCCCTTTATTAATTCTCATTTTCTGTGGACTTCCAAATTCAAGGAAGTTACATGGGTTGTAGTGGTGACAGACTTAAGTAGGCAGAATTAACATTTCCATCCACCGTTACCCTTCGATGGTACATGCATCAGGGAAATCAAGATATGCTCAAGGAAAATTAAAACTTTAAATGCCCCTCCTGAAAAAAAATTCCGAGTGACGTGCGAATAGCAGCAGTTGAAATTTGATTCATTTTCACTTTGCAGTTCGCCGCACGAGTGCGAATAACGCCCGGTGGACGAGCAGACGAAGACGAGGAAACGTCAAAAACGTAATCACTTCATTTAACTTAGTAGTTCATGCTCTGTATTCGTTCATGAGTCTTAGTAGAAACAGAAAATAGAGAAAAACACGTTTAAGACGGCTGGTTCAATGAATGACCAGGTTGATGACAGTGGTAGTCTCAGTCATGAGGAATTGATGAAGCTTACCAGCTCAACTCTGACCAAACTGCTACCTGATGATCCAGTCTTACGTGATTTACCGAATGAAGTCACATTTGAAGAGGTGAACGCTCAAGTGGCTTTACAGTTTGGGCGTTCTATGACAGTTTATGTTGTACGTGGAGACGGTGAAGAACTGCCTATTGTTGTACGTAGCTCGACCATGCATGATAGTTAACATTTATTACAAGTTGTTTGGGCCAAATTTCAACACAAGTTTTTATATTTTTTCATGTAGGTACCTCAAGGGACAGCCACAGTCCTCGACCTGAAGCATGCTCTGAAGCGCTACATGACATTGCGCTTGATGCGTCAGAAGAACTCTCAGAAATTAAGTTGGCGCCACATTTGGCGCTCGCATTGGCTGTGTTTCGAATCTCAACCTTTAAAGGAAGATAAAAAGCTTCTTTCCAGTTATAGTATACATAATCGTTCCAGAGTAGACTTTATTAGAAGATTGCGTGAGCGAAGAAAGTGATGTAAGCAATTTACTTTATATTACATTGGTTGTGCAGTACCGTATGGAAAGACTCTTGTCAATTTTTATTTTTATTTATATTGATAAAAGAAGCAAAGACAGTAAGTCAGTTGACTCAGTTTAAACATGAGGTGTACTGTTGTGAAAAAACGTCCTAGATTGTCCAGTTAGTCCATTTCAAAAGTCGCGGCATTGCAGCAGGCATGACAACACTCTGCATCTATAAAATTTCACATGCACCTCGAAAGTGTGGAAATGGATATCCGATACCTTAGATTTTTTTCGGATGATTTCTTGTAGCTTAAACTAAGGAATTCAGCATTTTCGAACAGAATGTGACTCTTAAACTTAGATGATTCTTGCCCTTCGTTCTGACTTTCATGTGCTGCTGTTGGTGCGACCTCCCCTCTCCCCCCACCTCCCCTCATTTTATCGTCGAGTTTGGAGTTTTGGCGTATGTAGTGGCGTCCGGCTTTGACGTTTATCTCTGTTTTGTAGGAGTCTTGTGTGAAAACCGAGCTCACGAAAGCTGAAAAATGAGTCGCAGAAGACCTCATGATGACGACGACGGTTATGGTTCGTACAAACTGTTGTAATTTTCTTCTTTTATTGTCAGCTTATAGGTTAGCTCTGAGTATTTGTCATTGTTTTCCCAATACCTCTTCTCTTTGTGATTAGAGATTTGTCCTTGTCTGTTACGTGAATAAAACGAGTCTAAATTTTTTATGCGGACCTTTAAATTACCTCTGCATATTTTCAATATTTATTTATATTTATGTCATGGTTCCTACCAAGTTGCCTCTGATGATCAAGCCAGCGATAAGTGATGATATCCTTAGCTATTGCAATGTCACTCAGATCCATCATTGACATGGACTTTTGTTTTATCATTTCCACAATTTCATGCTCCTACACTTTCTTTACTATACTTTTTGTTTCTTCAAATGATAGAGCGTGCTCACCGCAAGAGGAGGAGGGTATCAGAGAACCAAGAAATCGAGGATCGCTTGGAGACTCTTATCCTCCGAATTGGAGAAAAGGTTCCTATATTTTATATTTCATGATTTCTTATTATCATATGCTACCTCTGAAACTGATTTCTTATATATGTGCTCCTTTGTTGTTCTAGAGTACTGCCTCGTTGGAGAGTAATTTGGAAGGACTAGCAAGTGTACTTGAAGCTGATTTGGCCAGCTTCAAGGCCAAGATCCTCCGTATTCTTTCAGAATGTGCAATCAAAATGCCGGAAAAGTGCACTGTCTATACCACATTAGTGGGTCTTCTGAATGCCAAGAATTACAATTTTGGAGGAGAGGTAAAGTATCTGTATTTGTGTCATGTGCTGGTGACATTGCTCATCAATCTAGCCAGAACAATCTTTTCAATGTTGACTTCTATTCCAGTTCGTCGAACATATGGTCAGGAACTTTAAGGAGGCATTGAAAAACTGTCGTTGGGACGCCGCTCGATATTCTCTTCGGTTTTTGGCAGATCTAGTAAATTGCCATGTTATTGCTGCAACTTCCTTGATTCAATTGCTTGACAACATGGTTGATGTTGCTAAAGAGGAGGGTGTCCCCAATGTGAGTACATGTTCTTTACGTCTACTATTTCGGAATCAGGAATAGTGAAGGTACAACAACTCCTTTGCTTTCTTGCAGGTCCGCAAAGATTGGTATGTTTATTCTGTCTTATCGGCCTTGCCATGGGTTGGCAGAGAATTATATGAGAAAAAAGAATCTCAACTTGAAATGCTTCTGGTTAAGATAGAGGTTTTCCTTAACAAAAGAAGTAAGAAGCACCATACAGCTTTGAGAGTTTGGTCTCAAGATACCCCACATCCTCAGGAGGAGGTAATTGATCATAACCTTGTTTTTATGTGTTTTGCTGTGTTGTAAGGCACAGTGCTTTTATGTGTCTGTCCTTTTGGCTTCCAGTACCTGGATTGTCTGTGGGCTCAAGTCCGAAAGCTGCGTCAGGACAACTGGGTTGAAAAACACATACCAAGACCATATTTGGCATTTGACAGCATTCTTTGCGAAGCTCTGCAGCACAACTTGCCTACTCTCCTTCCTCCTCCACATGATCCTAGCTTTGAGTACCCTATGCCTTGGGTTGTTTTCCGAATGTTTGACTACACTGACTGCCCAGAGGTACTATAATTATTCTATGTACTGCCCTTTATTTTATTATTTTTACCACCTTTAATTTAAAAAAATACCAAATTATCGGAAATTTGTTGTTTTAGGGTCCAATTTTGCCTGGGGCCCATTCTATTGAAAGATTCCTAATTGAAGAACATTTGCATCAAATATTAGAAGTGAATCACCTAGAAAGGAAAGATTGGTAAGCAGCAACACTTTTGGTAACTTTGTATGTGTTTAAATAATTGCCTGTTCTGGTAGTAATTTCAGTGAATATTTCTTCCCACAGTGCTGCTAATTTATTGAATTTTCCATACAAGACAAAGATTCCTTTGGAATATTCTATTGTGGAAATTATTTTTGCTGAGTTATTCCACATGCCCACTCCTCGTTACCTTGAAATCTGCTATGGTTCCATTCTTATTGAACTGTGCAAGCTGCAGCCTAGTACAATGCCGCAAGTTCTAGCCCAGGCAACAGAAATTCTTTTCATGCGCATAGATACCATGAATGTTACATGCTTTGATAGGTAAGCTTATTTTTCATTTATCTAATGCTGATAGTGTTGTTTAAGTGTAAGTACACATTAATTTCAATGTTTTTCTCCACAGATTTGTTGCATGGTTTTCTTATCACTTAAGCAACTTCCAATTCCGTTGGTCTTGGGATGATTGGGATTTCTGTCTTCAGCTTGATCTGGAGCACCCCAGACCAAAATTTGTCAAAGAGGTGCTGCAGAAGGCTTTACGGTAATATCATTTCACAAATTTCTTTTTGTGGTAGGATGTGTTACTGTTGGCTGCTAGAATGTCATTAGTCTTTCTCATTTTCCAGCCTCTCATATTATCAGAGGATAAAAGAAATCATGCCAGAAGTTTATGAACCACTGTTGCCTCCAAAGCCAGAGCCAGATTACAAATACACCCACGATAATGCTGGTGAGTCTAGAATTTCAACCAGAAGGCATTTGTTTTTGTTGTAGCTTGTGACAATCAGAAATCAGAAGTGCTATGGTTTCGTCCAGTTTTTATTTTGAAGGTTTCCATTTTAAAATTAACAACAGCATTCACTGACAGTCATGTCTATTTAGAAACTATTTTACAATAACAAATGTATAAAATTTAAATTAACAACTGTACAAATTTATTTACGTCCTATATACAGTTTGATAGTTTGAGTAGTCAATTATCTTGCGTCTGCATTGGTTTGCTGCCAATGTCTTACTTGATTTGGAAGTCTACGTATTCCTCTTAAGTCTGAATTGCTTTGAGGATCAAAGTTTTCATTTGGGTAATCTACTCGTTCTCGTCTCCTAGGTTTCTGATTTTTAAGGTATGACTTACTCTGTTGCGTATGAGAAGGCTTTCTTTTCCTTGATATTGAGTATGTCTTACGACTTTCAATAATGGACGTTGGGTCAACCGATGACGCTGTTGTTGTGTGATTTGATCCCCGTCTTTGTTGGTAGTAATCTTTATAGCTGCTTCTCTGCCGCCACGGACGTCGTGTGCTGGGCCTCCACGGCTTTCGAGTTGTGGGGACTTCTGTGCTGAGAGAGAGATTTTTCAGCAATTGAGAGTAGCTTTCTGTGACGTGTTTCGCTTTTCCGTTTATGTGATTGGTGTGCCCGTTGACGATGGAGAAGGCGAGTGGAGCGCTCGTGCTTCCTGACGTGTCGGCGCCGTGTCCATATTCGCCCCCGTTGGGCAGCTCGTTGGGCAGGACGTTGTTGGCGGCCTCGTCCCTGCTCGTGAAGATGCGCCTGGTGCTGGCGGTGGGCACGGCGCTGGTGCTGGACTCCTCGTGCTCCGTGTCGTTCTCGCGGCTCATGACGTCGATGCTCTGCTTGACGGACCGGAGGATGGTGTACTGGTACGTTGTGGCGTCGTCCTGCCGGAAGGGGTCGGCCACGAGCGTGCTGGCCACGGCACTGGCGGCGGACGGCTGCTTGGCCTCGTCCTTGTCGTCCTCGGAGGCCACGAAGAAGGTGATTTGCAACGGCGACGACGGCGTCGACACTTCGGGGCTGGGCGTCCGCGTGTGGAGGGTGGTGGACAGCTTGCCCTCGGTGGCGTTGGCCACGAGCGAGTACGGGCCCCGGGTGGGGTTCTCCGTGAAGAGCCTCGTGCTGGTGAGGACGGCCTGCGTGCCCGCGTCGCCGCCCGAGTACCTCGTGGTGAAGGTCTGCTCGTCGGGCACCGTCGTGTCCTCCGTGGGCCGTACCGTCGTGACGCGGACGCCGTTCTCCGTGAAGATGTCGATGTACGTGGGCACCTTGGACGTCATGACCTTGAGGATGGACATCTCGAAGTCCTTGCCGTAGTGCGGCGTGAAGAGCGGCACCGTGGGGGCCACGCTGCTGACCAGGTGGGGTGGCGCGCTGGGCCTGGTGCTGGGCCTGGTGCTGGGCCTGGTGCTGAGCCTGGTGCTGGGCCTGGTCACGACGGCCTGCCCGGCCGTGGTGCCGCGGACGGTGGCGGCCGGGTACTCGGAGAGGTACTCCGTGGGGGCGGGCGTGGTGGCGGACGCGGCCAGCGCCGGCAGGCTGCTGCTTCCGGTGCTTCCTCGCGGAGCCTCGGGCGTGTGGCTCGCGTCGCCCGCGTCCTCCTGGGCCGGCGTCGGGTACACCTTGGTGGGGCGGCCGATCTCGTAGTAGTGGCTGGCGGGCACCTTGTTCTTGATCTTGAACGGCAGCTTGCCCTTGGTCTTGGTGGGCCGCGTCACGTCGACCGAGTTGGGCGTCGTGAACGTGTAGCCGCCCGAGATGCGGTAGACCTGCGCCTGCGTGGTGAGTGCCGGCGGCGCAGACGGCGTGGCGGGCCGCGACAGCGTGGACGCGGACGAGGGCAGGATGGTGACGGTGGGGCCGGACTCGGGGTCGGCCGGAAAGCGCAGCGTGGTCGGCGCGTGCGTAGCGGGGCGCGACGTGGCGGTCGGCACGACGGACTGCTTGGTGGCGGACACGTACGGCACGCGGGTGTCGGTGCCGTCGCGCGCCGGCGGCAGCTGCTCGTTGATGGAGGTGGGGTAGTGCGCCGGGCTTGGCGGACTCGGCTGCGTCGCGGGGCTCGTCTGTCCGATGTGCACCGTGGGCGTGGCGGCGTGCGCGAAGCCGTGGGGCAGTCCGTGGGGCATGCCGTGGAACAGCGGGTCGGGCTGCGAGTACTCGTGGTACTGCGGCGACGGCCGGAAGGACTGCGGCCGCGACGCGGTGGGCGCGGCGCCGCCCAAGACCCCCGCCGTCGTGCTGGGGAACTCTGTCTCCGTGGTGCTGCCCGCGTACACGGGCACGCCGCCGCGCACGTAGAAGTGGTGGTGCAGGTGCTCGTGCACCCTGGTCGTGGTGGGCGACGCGCTGGTGGCGCGGCCGACGGCGTCCGTGCGCTGCGTCAGGGCGTTGTTGACCTGGCCGCCGAGCGCGCTGGCCTTGGCCAGGGCGTTGGCCTTGGCCAGAGCGTTGGCGGCCAGCTGCTGCAGCGGCAGCGTGTCCGGCTCGGGGTTGACGCGCAGGATGAGGCCCTTGGGTCGCAGCTCGCGCTGCCGGCTGACGCGGCTCTCGGCCCGCAGCCCCGCGCGCAACCCGCGCGTCGACGCCGGCGGCTCCCACTGGCTGAGCGGCGGCAGCGCGGGCACGATGGGCGTGACGCTGAACTGCAGCTCGTAGCAGGGCCGGTGGTCCGCGTTGGGCCCGCTGTGGCGAATCCGCCGCACGCTCCACATGGCCTTGATGCTCTCGCCTGCAACAGTGGAACAGGGATTGTGCCGTCACTGTCACCCGGCGCCGCCAATCCAGTCACTTCCTTCCGGAAGGATGCCGCGCCGGATTTGGCGGCCCCGGGGGGTCCTTGAGGACGAGCAGGACGAGCCGGCCGGCCGGCCGGTCACGGTGGCGGCGGGGCGAGGACGCGCAGCGCGCCCATCGGCCACGCCGCAGCGCCGCACCCCTCCACTTACCGTTAGGCCCCGGCAGCTCGGCGGGGCAGTCGACGCAGCGCTCGCCGGGCAGGTCGACCTCGCGGAAGACGGGCTTGCCGTCGCGGTCCGCCACCAGCAGGCCCCGGGCCAGGACGCGGATGTCGCTGGGCTCGTCCAGGGCCGCCAGCACCTCGGCACCTGCGGAACGGAAGCACGGCGTCGTGGGTTGTAGGGAGGAGTTCGCGCCGGTCAAAGCAATGGCCGAGTCGCATCGACCGCGCTTCCCGGAAGATTTGATAGTGGTGGAGACCAAGACCCTCGTCTCCTTACTGTGGTGCGACGCGACGAAGGGCGCGTCGGGCAGGCCGTCCCAGGTGAGGGCCCGCGTGGCGGCGCGCCGGAGGGTGGCCTCCCAGGTGGGGTCGGCCGGCTCCCCGGCCCCCGCCGTCAGCGCCATCCCCGCGGGCTTCTCGTCGTCACGACGCAGGACGACGACGGGGCCCAGGCTGGTGGCGTTCTGCGCCGACGCGAAGCAGCACGGCAGGCTGAGCGTGGGCGTCGCGCTGGCCGGCGCCGTGAGGGTGGCCGCTAGCGCGGCCGGCGCGCGGGGCGGGCAGCATGCCAGCAGCGCTACCTGGTGGTGGAGTGGAGACGGGCAAGTTAGAAGGGGCGGACCCACCCGGGCGCCTGCGGACTGCCGGGTAGGCACGCCCGCAGCACGCAGTGCCTCGCGGGGCTGCCTATCCTCGAATCCGCGGGCGCCGAGCTCGCCGCCCACCGCGCCTAGCGAACTAGCGGACCGTCGGACGAGGAGAAAATGAACGGGCAATTTGTTTTGCAGCGGGCATTCTGCCGGCAAAGGGATCGGCACGCCACGCCGCCATTGGCGCGGCCGACGTGACGGGCCGAGCCCTGGAGTCGAGACTCCAGCCGCCGGACAGCGCGGCGGCCCGGCTGATTTGTCCCCGCCCTTGCTCCGGGCTGTCGCTCTGTCTCTCTCGCACCAGCGGCGCGACGGGCTTTGTCTCTGAGCGCACTGCGGCGGATTATGCGGGACGCGAGATAGATCATGATTGGGGGAAAGTGACTTTAATTATATTGCCTTCCTTCCGCGGTGCTTTGCCCAGGCTGTGCCTTTCTTACGGCCGGACGCGGGCCGCCACCCGCTGGCTGCGGCCGCCTGGCCCGGCCCGGCCCCCGCCGAGGAGGTGATGAAGAGCAAGAAACAGGTGGGCAGGGGTTCGCGCTGGTCCGCGCGCGCCGCTTGGCTGCCCGCCTTGTTTCCCGTAGTCATGACCACGCACACGTAATGCTGCGTCCGGGCCGTTTGTTTACCTCGCGGCTGTTGGACGCACTTTTCTGCGCTGCTCGGTATTTCTGAAGCAGTTTTCTTTTCCCCCTTGTTTGAACCATTGAGTTGTCTCGAAAGTACTGAAAGTAATGAAACCTCCTCGCCCGTCGCCCTTCATTTTGTTGTTTTCTTTGACTCTCTGCGCTGATTTTGACTAGCTCAGGTGCCCGAACTGCTGAGGTTCAACTTGTGCGGCGTCTGTTTCGTTGTTGTCTTGTTCCCGTTTCCACTCACCAGGACGAAGGCCTTGGCCGGCAGCGCCGTCCGAACCGCCCCTGGTCTCGGCATCTCGCCAGTCTGTCACCATCACGCCTGCATGTGTCTCCCGACCCGAAGGCGCGGACCCCCTCGCACTGGTTCACTGCACTGCACTGGCACTACACTGCACTCCGGTGGTAATCCCAAGGGGCTGCTGCTGTTGAGGCGTATCCAGCACCGCGGACGGGTTGCGGCGGCGCGAGTCTGGCGGTACGGCGCGGCGCGGCTGGCCTGCGGGTGGCTTGCGGTCTCGCGGTACTACGACGGCGTGCTCCGGGCTGCGTGGCGGTCGCGACTGTGACGGGCCGACGAGCCCGCCTGCCTCCGGGCGTCGCGGGGCGTCGGCACGCCAGCGCCGCCCCCACCTGCAGTGCCCTGCGGTACCCTGCGGCCCGCGGGCGCGACGCCCCCCCC